GCCGCATTGAAGCCTCTGGGGAGAGGTATCCGCAAGGATGCCAGTCGCCGTTGTCATCGCGTTGGCGTAGCACCGCTCCGGTGGCAAACTTTGAGGCGTCGGTTTCGATGGCGAAGGGTCGGTCAGGATCCGGCATACGTAGTACCGGTTCCTCTAGGAACGCCTTTTTGAGGGTTTCAAAGGCTTTCTGTTGGTCAGATCCCCAGGTCCAGGCGACGTCCTTCCGGGTGAGAGCAACCAGCGGTTGCGCTTTGTCCGAGAAGCCTTTGATAAACCGGCGGTAAAAGTTTCCAAATCCCACGAAGGCGCGTACTTGCCTGAGGTTGGACGGCACCGGCCAATCCGCGATGCCAGCTAGTTTGACAGGGTCCATTGCGATTTCTCCTGGACGGATGATCATGCCGAGGAATTCAACTTCCGTGACGTCGAAGGCGCATTTCTCCGGTTTGAGGTAGAGGTCATGTTGTCGAAGTCGTTCGATAACACGTCGTGTTCGTTCTTCGTGTTCTGCCTTGTCCTGGGAAAAGATCAGGATGTCATCCATGTAAATGCAGAGCCAGCCTTCTTGAAGCATGTCTGCGAATATAGTGTTCATCATCCGCTGGAACGTAGCGGGAGAATTACACAGCCCAAAGAACATCACCGTTGGTTCGTATAGCTGCGGCGGTTTGCCATCAGTTCCAGGTACGATGAACGCTGCCTTCCATTCGTCCCCTTTCTTGATTCGAACATTGTTGTATCTGGCGCGGAGGTCCATCTTCGTGAACATCTTGGCGTGCTTCAACTTGTCCAGGAGGTCGGATATAAGCGGGAGCAGGTATCGATCCTTGACCGTGTTCTCGTTGAGCAGCCGGTAGTCTTGACAGGGACGTAGTGAACCGTCCTTTTTTCCAACAAAGAAGAATGGACTCGCCAACGGGGATTTTGAAGGGCGAATGTACCCTTTACTCAGGTTCTCCTCGAGGAACTTGTCGAGTTCCTTTCGTTGCTGCGGGTTGAGCGGATAGACCTGTTGCTTCATGTCCACGAAGCCCTCCTTGAGGTTGATTTCGTGGTCGTATTCGGTGTGGTCTGGAAGTCGCGCAGCCGTGGCTTTGTCGAAGACGGGGAGGAGATCGTGTAGGTAGGATGGTACCATCTGTGGTAGCGTTCTTTCTGTCTTGCCTTGGGCGTTCGAGGCTGCAAGTTCGGTGGAAGTGGTGACGCGTCTAATGTCGTGGTGGACCTTCCAGATCATGCCGTTGTGAAGTCGTTTGTAGCCAGATGAGGGTTCAGGGAGTCGCTCCTTGAGCGGAACATCCCTCGCTGCCAGGGGTTCCTGTTTCTCGTACTTGGTGATCATCGGTGCTCCAGATAAGTAGGAAATGATGAACTCATCATCGTCGATGTCCTCCGCTTGTTCCTCGATGGATGCAATACCCGTTGACCCAAACCCATCCTGTCCGCGTTCGGTCTCGTCGACGCAGTCATTTAGCGTTACTGGTGGAGTGCTTATCTTTTCAAGGATGAGCTGGGCAACTCGGTCGCCGGTTTTGACGGTGAATGGGAGATCAGAGTTATTGACCAGCAGGACTGAGACCTTGCCTCGGTAATCGGAGTCGATTACTCCTGCAGCAACGTCAATTTCTTTTAGCGCTAGACCGGACCGAGGTGCGATTCTTCCGTAGTGTCCTTCGGGGATAGCCATGATAAGGTCAGTGCCGACCAGGTCTCGTTGTCGGGCAGGGATGATGAGTTGATGCGCAGCAGAGATGTCATATCCTGCTGCACTGCTAGTCTTTCGTTCAGGAAGGGTTGCGTGCTCTGAGGTGGGGATGACGACGAATTCGTCCTCTGTTGGTTCTGGGAGTGGGGTAGTTATGGCCCTCTTTAATTCTAGCCGGGCCACTCGCCTTTGGTACAGGTCCATCTTCCAGGCCCTGGTCTCGTCTCTTGTCCATCGGTGGTTCAGCTCCACTCGTCCGGTTTTCCAGTCTATCTTGGGGTTTTCGAGTTTGAGCCACGTGTGGCCGAAGATGATGTCTTCCTTGCCGATGCTGGCGACGTAGGCTTTGACGAATCGGGGTTCTCCGCTTATCTTGTAAGATAAGAGAGCTCTTCGCGTGATGAGTGCTTCTTTGTTCGGAGTTCCATCCACGTTGAAGACGGGGATGGGTCGGGGAAGAGGTTCTGTCCGAAGTCGATGTTCTCGGACGAATCTCGGACTGATGAAGATTCCAGTTGCGCCGCTATCGATGAAAGCGCGCGCCTCGACGTCTTTTCGTCCCACAGTAATCGGAATATGCAGAGCACGTTCATTTCGAACTACTAGAATTACACGGGACAGTGAAACGGATACGGGCAGTGGTTGCGTCGGCTCACCCTGCCCCTTCAAAAATCCTCCATCGTAAGTTCTTCATACAGCTCCCGCTTCTCGTCAGTGGAGAGTGCCTTGATTCTGGCGCGGAAGTCGTCCTTCCCAGATCCTCCCTGGTTCGGCTTCCCACCCCCTTGTCGTGCGGCCGCTTTCTTGCGGCAATCCTTGGCGCTGTGGCCCTTGATATGGCAGTAGAAGCACAGGTTCCCATCCCTGTGGAGCTTCCGGTCGGCCTCATTGAGAACTGCTCCTAGTTCCCACTTCCTTCCTCCCGATGTGGAGGCAAAGGTTGCCGCGACTGCAGCGGCGTCGATATCCATTGGCTCGCCGTAGTCCCTGGTGTCTGTGACGGTGAGGGCCCCTTGTTCGGCGGCGTCGGCGTTTCGGACTTCGTCGTACCAGGCTTTCATGGTGCTGGGTCGGTCCCTAGCGGCCCTGGTTGTGAGAGAGACGTAGAGCTCCTTTGGAAGTCCTTTGACAAAGTTGGCATGGAGAGTGTGGTAGTCGTTCTCGGTGCGGTTGACGCCATTGACTTCGGCATCCTTGAGCTGGGCTTTCGACGCTAGCTGCTCGAAGCGGGTGACGTAGTTTCCAAGGGAGAGCGCCGTCTTCTTGTTCTTTTGTCATTCGGGCAGTCTCATCAGGATTTGGTGCGCCTTGATTCTTGTTCCGTGCTCGGGAAACGCTTCCTCGAGGGCGGTGGCGAAGGCTGCCCAATCGGGATAGACCTGGACTCCCCCTGCCGACTTCTCGTAGTATGCGTCTGCCCACGTTTTTCCTAGGTCCTTCCTCATCAACGCTACGGTGAAGGCGATCTTTGCTTCATCACTAAGTCTGGTGTTGTTGGTGGCGACGAAGTAGGAGAGGACGCATTGGATGAAGCGTCTGAGGTCCTCCGCCTTTCCGCTGAAAGGTTCGGGAGCGGGGATGTCAAGGCGAAGGGGTCGGTTGGCAGTTGACTGTTGGGATTGGTATGCTGCGAGGGCGACAGCGATGCACTGATCGATGTCTGCTTGAGTGAACGTTGCCATAGGGACTTCAACCCGGTGCGTTGGTTGGTGCAGGTGGAGCT